TCCTGCCTCTTAAGTAGGGCATTGTTCATAAGGTTTAAAGATCTCCTTGTTAGTTGGAAAATTTGGTCACTCTGACACTTAGGGAAATGTTGGGAAGATGATAAAGAGTTCTTTTCTAAAATTCTTGATGCTTTAGTGAAACTTTACTGAGCTAGTATTTTGTAAATATCTCAACAGGTTCATGTGTTTACAACTCTTTACGAGCTTGGCTTCTCAGTACAAAAAGGATAGATCTCCTTTGTCATATATAATATTTTTTTTTCTTTTTGGGGTACTGGGAATTGAACTCAGCACCTTGTGCTTGCTAGGTAGGCACTGTGCCACTGAGCTATGTCCCTGGCTCATGGGTTGGGCTTTTACTTTTGTAGTTATAAGAGCCCTGAGCACCTGCTGGTTCTGCTTTTGTCCTAAAGAATCATCACTACTGCTGATCCGGGGGCTGGTGATAGAGACAGGTCTTTGGCCTTGGAGATGTTTTTTCCCTTTCACAATGGCATGCATTGATTATCCTTAATTTGATTGGGGTTTTAGAGCTCTGAATTTTTTCCTGGTGGCATGCTCCTCCAGGATATCTAATCTCATGGGTCTCCTCCTTGTAAACCATTCCCATGGGGACTTCTGCAGACTCCTGGAACATGACCCCATACAGGAAAAAAATATTGCTGTGTATTGGCCTATAGCCAATCATTACACAGGAAATACTAAATTGTAACTTTTTTGAAAAGGAAAGAAGATATAATTTTCCAGACTTTTTAATATCCTGGAGTTTTCATTCAAAGGTCCAATCCCTTACTTGCTTTCAAGGACAATCTGGAATTAGATCACCATCCTTAGAGGAAGTTCCATTACTGAAAGCTAGATGATCAGATAGGGTTTATTGGGCCAGCAGACAGTTCCCCTGGAGTAGTAAACAATGAAGAATGTAACTAGGCATAGCACTGGGGGTTTTATTTCTCTGGTGGTAACCATTTTTTTTCCTAGCATGTGGCTGAAGGAAAAGCACTTTTGATATCATTCTACATATTATTTGGACTGCAAGAAAGTATGCTAGCAGCAAGAACTACCAAAATAAAACGTGAAGATTTACAGAGCAGCGGCACGACTACCCTGTCTGCTGTTTCAAAGTGACCAGAACACTCAAAAGATGCCATCTGTGGAATCTTATGGCTGCAGAACTATGAGTCACCCTCTCCAAATGAATAGTGAATATCCATAACACGATCTCTTGAAATTTGATTTGGACCTCGTTTTTTCCTTAGTTGGAAGAAGGAAGGGAAGCCTATGAGTTAGCTTTTTCTACTGTCAGCCTAAGGGAAAGGATTTTGAGCTGTGTAGCAGAAGCCGGTTTGCCCTTTAAGGATAATGGGAGAGCCAGGAAACCAAGAAGTAGGCACAGGCTACAGGTCTTCTCTTTCAGCATGAACAATTCTCCTTTGCTCTGTTCTATTTTTTGAAAGAACTTTGTGTGAAAACCAGTAGCGGAAATTACTTTCCTAGAGGAAACTACTATAATCAATGGCACTGCCTAGATTTGGGAAAATCTTAAAATAGAATATTTGGCATAACTGCTTGAAAGTCAGTTGACATGCCATAGCTTGGTCCCCATATCTGATAGATTTATTCTTTAGGGAAATAACTGAACTCTGCTGTGCTAGGGTATTTCTGATGGTCTCAACTTCCCTGTGCCAAAAGATGCATATGGCTTAAGGGAGAGTGTATCCTTCCCAAGAGTTATAGCTGCGACTGGGATAAAGAACAAGAGCAGAGACAGAACAGAACAATTATGGCTGCAACAGAAACAGAACTGGGCTGGAGCAGATCTGCCAAGCAGATCTGTGGGCAGCTCTAGAGTAAATGCCTGCTGGACTTCTCTGGCACATTGGGCATGATCTCCACACTGGGCACCTGGCCAGGGGGCTGCAGAATGGATGACAGTGGACAGAAGGTCATTGGAAAGGAAAAGATATTCATGTGTGGGACAGTAAAGTACAAGGTTAAATTGCTGTAACTTGGTCTGAAGCAAAGCAAGGTTGTCCGTCCATCTGTCTCTACACTAGGTCAAATTACAGAGTGCAGGAAATAACAGGAAGGACCTAAAGGAGGCTGGTGACAATAGTGAATGTCAAGCTGCTCAACAGAGAGCTGACCACAGGGTATATTAAATTCATAGGCCTTGCATCCTTGAAACCTGAAGTTGCCAACTTTTGCCAGTACTAGTGGAGAACTCTGAGAAGAAAGGTCAGGAGGCAAATTCCAAATCTTACCTCCACAGACTAATGGTAGTTACCAGTTGCTTGCTTTTTCTCAGTCTTTTAATCCCTATTTAGTTGTATAAAGCTTAAAAAAATGTATGCTGTCCTCCAGGGAGCTATATATCTCAGAAACACATGAAGTTTGCTTTCTTCATTTTAAATAGAATAACCATTCTACCACAATACACCTAACAATTGAAGCATCAGTGTATTAGGGCATTTTGTGTTTAAACTTTCACATCACACTTCTCCTAGGTTAGGCCAAACATTACCCGTTAAGATGTACACTGCTTTGCTTCCTACCCGAAGGCCCTAGGTGAACTCAGGGATCGTAGACACACCTCCTGAGTGATTCTTGTCCAAATGGTCCTCAGGACCATCACCCATGAGTATTAAACCCATGCATGTGCCTCACTATCAGAGCTGGCTTTCTTAGATCCATAAACCAAAGGGGAGAATTAATTTAACACAAGAACTCTTATAGCTTTCACTCTTACGGCTCTAACATCATTACTTCTTGCAGTAACATACACTAGACAGATGCCTGTAGGCATGATGCTCTACAAGGAAAACTATGTCCCTTCTTTAGAAGGAGACCCCAATTCCCTTCCCTGGCCTCTTCTTTTGAAATTTCCTGTTCAGAAGTTACTGCCTTCCACTCTTTCTCACAAGCTACTGATCTGAGACTTATTTCTAAGCACCGAAAAAGAGAAATTCTCGTTCAGGTTTAAGTCTGCATAGGCACTGGACAACCAAGTTGAGGACCTAGAAAGAACAGGAAGGTTTGGCTCTGTGGATTTACCCTAGTCTCCAGCATTTGCCTCCTGGAGTAGAACTTGAAGCTTTCTGAAATGACATCTTTTTCTCCTTTTTAGGGCTTAGCCTGGCACCATCAGTTCCCACTGCCATACCATTGCAGTTGGGGTGAATCCTGCCTCTCTTTTTATTTAGTTAGCATACAGGAAGGCCAGAAGGTGCACTTGGAACTCAGGGCCTAAGAGGAGAGTCATTGATGAGCAAACCTCAGCAGCCTGTCTTTGCCTTGCACTTAGCCTGCGCTCCCCTGGGACTTGCTCACCTCCCCTGTGAGCAGGGGCATCAGTACAGTTCTCAGGGGAAGGGGATTCCAGGTCGGGGAAAGGACCGGCGGCTGCTGTCAGGGTGACAACTGGGGAACTCCCCAAAGGATGTTGGATGCTAGCAAGGGTGAAGGAGTCTGCCCACCAGGGGAGGGAGGGGGACCCCTGAGTCCCCATACCAGGGGAAGCTCCTTTACCTTGATGGAGACCCGGCTGGGGAAGGAGGTCAGGCAAGGTGGAGCTATAATTCCTCCAGCACCCTGGCTCTCCGCCTGTTTTCCTCGCATGAAATTCTCTACATCATCCTCCTTAGTTTCAACCCCTCCCCTCTCCACCCCGCCCCGCCCTGTGCCCATCCCCGCTGGCCACTGGGTCCATCGCCCAGGAACCGCCTCCCCTTTCTCCTCCCCTGCGGTTCTTTCTGTTTTTCGTTGGCATCTGGCCGGGCACAGCCGCCACCCTCCCCCTATGCTCCCCACCTGTCTTCACTCCGCAGAGGTCCCGGTCCCCCTTCCCCTCCCCCACCCGGCCCACCTCCGACTGAGGCGGAGGGAGGGACGGAGGATGCATTCCTTCAGTCCCTCAGCCCGCTCTCCCTCCCCTGGGGACCTGAGGCTCGAGCTGAGGCTAGCATCCTGGTCGCCTTACTAACTGCCCCTGTGGCACCCTATTAACCGTAAGCAGCCTTTAAGAAGGCTGAGGTGCCCCCACAGCGCTGACCTACATAGCCCTGCTGGGCGGGAGGGGCTCTTCCCCAAGTCCCCTGGCCCCGGCCCCGCCTCCTTTCTCCCCCTACTCCCTTCCTTCCTCTGCCTCTACCATTACAAACCCTAGACGGTTGGACTTACCGACCAGGGCAAAGGGAGTACGAATGCTACCCCACCCCAAATTTGGGAAAATCAGTGTTTAGCCCAAGAATGCTGTAGGTTTTTGCCTTGTATCCTCTCCAAATATCTTGATCACTGCTTTTGCCCAAACTATCCGCTCCTTCCTCCTCCCCCAGCCTGCACCCCCCTCCCAGGCATACAGCCCAGCTCGGGGGCATTGCCCTGTGTTGTTGTTTTGCTCCGAGACGAAGCCCCTTCTCTGCGCACGCCCCCCTCAGCAGCCTCACCCAAGCCCCCTTCCCTGCGCACTCACAGCTCCGCCGCCCGAGAACGCGCGGGGAGCAGAAATGTTTGCATACAGCAGTTTGGGGGGTTGCTCTGGCCACCCAACCCCTACAGATATATATACACAAACACCCGACACACGCCCTGACTGAAGCGGCGACAGCTCTCACTCCGCCCCCAACACACACTGACACAGACATACACATAGCTCCTGACAAACGCAGGACCAGACAGCAACACAGACGCGCACACCCAGACGCGCACAGCACACGGACATCAAGACATCCAGACCCAGGTGCTCACCGTGGACCCGGCCCGGGATCCAGAGCCTGGTGCACACGCAGACACGCTCCACGGTGCACATAGGGGGTGCACACGTCGGCACACCCCGCGGTCCTCAGAGACAGAGATGCTCTGAGACAGACACTGGGTGTTCCAGCCACTGGCGACTTTAACCCCCGGTGCTAAACAAAGCCGGCAGGCTCTCCCGCCCACTCCCAACCTGAGCCTCGGCCTTGGGTCGCCCCCTCCCCTGGCACCCCCCGCCCCCCACTCACCGTCCTGGGAGAGGTTGGCCCCAGCGGGCGCCCAGCAGCAGGCGAGGAGCAGGAGCAGGGGCACGGCGGAGGCGGCCCCCATCGCGCTTCCCGGGGGTTCCGGGCTGGGCGCTGCGAGCCTGGGTCTCTGGGGGCCTGGAGGGTGGGGTGTGGGCGACGCGGCTGGCCGAAAGGGCGCCCCGAGCCGCTTCCAAGCCCGGGGCCGAGGCGGGGACCGGGAGGGAGCCGGCGCTGCTGCAGTCGCCGGGATTAAATAGGGAGCTCGGAACAAACCATTCGGATGGCGGAGGAGGGGGGTGACGGGGGCTGGGCTACTCGCGGGGGGGTGGCAGGCTGCCGCATTCCCCACTCTCCCTAGCCTCCCATACCCCCTCGCGCACCCGTGAGGCTTTCGGTCTTGTCCCCTGGGAGCTCCGCCAGCACCCGCCGGGTTGTGAGGAGGAGGGAGGGAGCTGGCTCAGCGGTGGGACCCCGTGCCCATCCCTCTTTGGCTTGGGGTGGAGGGAGGGGAGTCGGGCAGGGCGGTGGGCCAGCTGGCGAGAGAGTCTACTGCAGGCCTGGGCAAGGGCGTGCCCACAGCCAGAGGTCCCCCAGCTCCCGCCTTCTAGGCAGCCGGGGATCCCCAAAAGCCTCGGGGTCCCCCGTCAGTTCTGGGTCCAGAGTAACCAGTTACTGTCACCAACCAGAACATCCCTGGTTCCTCCCACCTCAGCGTTCCTACTTATCTGTCCAGCAACAATTTGTGGTCCTGGTTGATCCCCCTTCAGAAGCGCCTTTCTCTGGAGACCCCAGGCCCTGGGAACCAACCTCTGTCTCAATCCCTTGTCAAAGAAATTCCCTCCTGAAAACATGCTTTCACCTCAGAGTCAAACCCAACCAAGTAGCCCACAAAGCCACGCAGTGTTTTGTCCCTTAACTCTCCCTGTCACACACCTGTACCTCCAGCTTTCCTTCCTAAGTTTTTCTTAGCAAGATCCCAGGTGAACATCTGATCTGCAGACACTCTTAAGGATCAGCGCGTCTGGGACCAATGCAGTCTTGTCCCTGAGGCCAGACACAAGAACAAGGAGGAGAGAAGTAGGGTGTTTGCACTGGCTTTCCCTCTCCCGCTCAAGAGGCCCAGCTTCCCAGTGTTTGCTGTTCTTTTGACTGAGTGTCACAGGCAGCATTTTTGGCACCTCTTAGACAGGGAACTTTTTGAGTTAGTTTTGTTGAAACTTAGCTTTTGAGAATAAATTTCAAAATTTTGGAGTGCTAAAATCAAAGAATTTTAGATAACTTGAGTTCTCAGAAAATACTTGATCGAACCCCTTAATTACATACATGTAGTGAAACCCAAAGGAGGTTAGCTGATCTACTCAGGGTTACACAGAGAGTTAATGGGAGAGGTGATAGATGTTGGCAGAGACAGGAAAAACTGATTTTGTAATGCCTTCTATAGGCACTATATTTCTGCCGATATTTCTGCCCCGAAAGGATTTGGGTGCCTGACTTCTAACTCTTCAGCTGATCCTCCCTCTGAGCTGATGGCTCTTTCATTGTACCGATCTTTAATATTTTGGATAATCTTTCCTTCTCTAAGACAAGGTTTCTTAATTTTTTTGGTGTAATACCCCTGTCACTTAGAAACACAAGGAAAAGAATGGAGAAAGTACCTTGTAAACTGTAAAGCTGCATATAAGTATCCACGATGGAGACAAGCCAAAACAGAGTATTTTCTGGGAGACCCTTCAGGATGGTCAAGATGCTTCCCTATTATTTTTTTCTCACTGTTTCTAGATTTTATGGTTTCTGGAGAAGAGCCCTGCCTGCCTCTTGAAAATTTCTTGAGCACTGGGTAGTTATTATTATTTCTTGTAGGATAATATTGGCCATCTTTGGTTGTCTTACTTACTCGACATATATCAATGACTCCAATTTTTTCTGCCTTTTTTGGAGTTCTCTGATATCTTGGAGTCTTTGGAAAGCCAAGATTGAAGAGTTGGTGTAGTGGAAGGATGTAGAGATGTGGAGATAAAAGAGAAGTGCCAGGGTTCAAGAGTAGAGGTAGAAAGAGATAAAAGCAAGACTAGATTTTTTGAAAGAAATGAGACTAGGTCAGTATGGGGTTAGTCATGCAGACAGAATGAAAGGATGAAGGTGTTTACGGAAAGAGTTAGCTTCAGTGGGGAAGGATTAGGCTATTCTACTTAAGGTGTCTTGATGGATAAAGAGCATTATCTTTGGAGCTTGGAGTAATGTTAGAGATGTAAGTGGGCTTAAGAGGCTACGTGTGTATGTGTGCATGTGTGCGTGTACATGCATGTGTATTAGAGTAAGGATGAGTATCATGAGAATGGCACATTGTGAGATTAAGTCCCAGTGTCCTCTAATTTTAATCATCTTTTCCATCTGCTGCTCTACTGTGACTCCCTTCTGCCTGTCCCTCCTTAATTCTTGTGATTGCTGGTCTGGCTCCGCCCTCCACTGTAACAACATGGGACCAGGACCAAGGGTGGGAGGGAAAGAGAGAGGCTGTTTTGGAGAGAATATTAAGGCTAGCAAATGAAACTCTGGAATGCTCTTTTCCTACTGGCTCCTCTTCCATTTTCTGCATCATCAGCATTAGTTTGGCAGCATTTTAGGTCTTGGGAATAGGAAACAGTCACTGGATTTTAGAATTATAAAATAGAAGAGTTTTCAAGTTCTAATGATCCTTTGAGATTATTTAATTAATAACACTCCTTGTTGAGAAGATGAAAAACAAAACAAAACACAGAAGCTCTGTGACTTTCTGTGTTTATACAGCTAGTTAGTAAAAGGATTACCAGTATTGGATATGGAGGGAGGAAATAGTGCCCTTTGGGATTAGGAAGGATAAGGAGACTCATTCTAAATATTGCAGAGCAATGTCCAGTTTGAGAAATCCCTCAGTCTTGCATATCACAAAGTGCAAAGGTCATTTCTCCTACATGGGCATGGGTATTTCCATTTGGAATAGCTCTTTGCCTATAATTATTCTAATCCTCAGTTACACGTGCCTGCCTTGCATCCTACAGGCCCACTATTCACTTATTAAACCGTTTTTGCAAAGACCAACCTACAAAGATTATCTCTGTCATGAAGCAGGTAAGTGTATCCATGTCAGATTGTGATCCCTATGGTTACTCTCTGCTCTGAAGTGCTATGGCATGCAGTATGCATCTCCCAGGGCCTTGTACAAAGTCTGGAGTAGGTTGTCTGTGGGATTACAGAACTGGCAGCTACAGTGAAGATTGGGGGGAGCACAGGAGGAGAGTGGAGAGAAGGCAGATTTGGCTTCCTGGATGCTCCTGTCCACTCAGCAACAGCTTGGATAGCCGGGGGTGTGGAATGTGGTGCTGGCACTGGTGCTGGCCTGGACACAGCTGTGTGGGCCTTGGGCATTCCTTTCTCCATGCTGCCTCTGCTCTGGAAGGCAGGGCCCAGGGAAAGGATTCAGTCTGCAGTGGGGTGAGTCTTACCTACTCACCTGAGAGAAGATAGCAGCACCTGTTGGGAAAGACCTTAGAAAATATACTTCAGTATTCACTAAGATTTTCCCTTGTATCCTAACTCTTCATTGAATGAGTTTTATCAGTAAACTCTGCACAGGTTTTCACATTGCATTCCTCTTTAATTTTCCACCCAACTAAACCAGTACTCTTTGTACTGCTTCTTACTTCTATTATCCAGTTCTAATTAACACAATCCTTAATAATAACCTCTGCATGCATTTTAATTCTAACCTTAATTGAATTCTAATTTCATTCCTAACCCTAATCTATTACAGACTGTAACTTCTAGCCCTAATACAAACCATGATTGTAACTGATAATGATCAGAATGCCTTCTCAAATTTCAAATTTCTTGAAAGCATATTATTATTATTATTATTATTATTATTATTATTATTGGTTTAATTTTTTAAATAAATAGTGGTGCAAAATAGAAAATAAATGTCCTTGCCTAGAAACCTTAATGACATTGCAAAACGTTAAAACAATTTACTGATAAAGTTAAAATATTCAAACTATAGAAAGAAATAAACCGCAGAGAAAAGCCTCTTCTTCTTCCCAGAGTAGCCATATTGCACAACCCCAGGGGGCATTGTTCTAATTGGAGTTGTGTAAGGCAGCAGCGCTGCCTCCCACAGCTTTTCAGAAAAGCAGATAAAGTCAAGGTAAATATCTACGAAATTAAATCACCCTCTGTATGTATATGACTTAGTCATGACAATCACTAGACATTTGGAATTTATAATAGCAGTAACTACAGAGGGCCAGACTCTCTTCTAAGCTGTTTACATTTATTACTCATTTTGATAATCGTAAGTCCACTGTGCAGTATTTTTGATATTCCCATTACAGATAAGGACAATAAGGCTTGAAAAAGCAAAATGACTGGCTTGGGAACAGAGACAGAGCAGGAGAGAGCCAGGCTTCAGACGCAGGCTTGATACCAGCACACCAAAGTCTAAGTTCTTAACCCTTGTATTTGGGCAGGAGGACTTCTCAAGGAGGAGGTTGTTTGGTCTTGGTTCAGAGGATAAGTAGGGGAGCTGTTTGATAATAGACAGGATGATGTAGGAGACTGGAAATGGGCTCAAACATGTAAGATGAGACAATATAAGGGGAGAGCCATTGAAAACTAGATTGCAGAGGGAAATGAGTGAAAGACAAAAGAGGAAGGGGAAATAGAACAAATATGAGTAGAGACTGGGGAAATTGTTTTGTGACAAAGTCAAGCAAAAGTAGAATCAAGTGATAAATATATGTGTCACTATTGCTCCAGCTACAGGCTGATTGATGTATTATGGAAAGACAGCAGACACATATAATCATTTGCAAACAAAAATCCACATTTTCAGTTACATGGGGATCTGTAGCTTCTCCAAAGAAATATCTTCACATTCCTCACCTTACATTCTGGGCTCCAGCAATATCAAATTGCTTGTAATTCCCCAAACACGCGATATTGTTTCATGCCTCAGTGTATTTGCACATACTGTTTCTTATACAGGATTGCCCATCTCATTAAACCTGATGAAAACTGTTCCTGTGTTTATACACTCAAAATTTGATTAGGTGTTGCCACCTCTGTGAAGTTGTCTACCTAGTGGCAATCATTTCCTGTTAGGTGCTACCACTGTATTGAATATATATCTCTATTAGTCTGCTTTTTAAATTATCCTTATTTTTATCAGTACATGTTTGTAGTGTATAATGACTATATTCATTGTGGGGACTTGGTACATG